AGCATTTCATATGATCTGAGGAACTAGGTTAAGCAAAGAGAATTATACATCAAATGCTTGCACCTGCACTCCAGTAAATAGGTTCGCTGATTTTAGGACCTGAGAATTGCTTGAAGTAGGCTGAGCACTCTTCATAGAAATTAATCCACCGGGAAGACAATTTGCACAATTTGTCAGATCAGTGGGGATACTATGACTCAAATTAAAGTGAAAGGAACAGGTTAATGGCGTTGGCTCCTATTAATGGTTTCCTATGAGAATTATAATGAACTAATAAGGGCTGCTTTGTGCTTAATGAATGATACACCTCATGTTAACTTGAGATTTGTGCATCTGGGGACTGATAGTTCATCAACTCATAGTCTCTGGATATGACATACTAGATTGGTGAGAGGGCGGGCATATATGTCTCTAGATACTTCACCGAATGTTTTCACTTAAAGATACGTGGGTTGTCACATGACTAAAGGCTATTGGCACACTTCATGCCTAAAGAGACTGTGCATCTAAAGGAATTTGGACAGCCAACAAAAGAATGCTAGTCAACGTCGTCTTTGTGGGTAGAGGGAAGAGAATCAAATCAATAGACCCAGCACGAAACATCTAGCACTGACGATTTAGCAAATTAGAGTGAGTTGATATTTATACAAGATGCATAAAGTATATACTGTCTTTGTTATATTAGTAGTAGAACAATATGTGATCATTGAAGTACACACAATGGCAGAGGCATCAATTAAAAGGGACAAGTTTGCCATAAAATGTGATGAAGAAAGGGCATTAAAAGTTGCATTTGGGCTAACATATAGAGATTAGGGTGGCACCGCAAAGAGGATGTGGCACTAGAACCATATCACAGCCATGGAAGGAACCTACGTGTTAATAGTTAAAACATACAGCAGAAGAGTAGAGAAAGAATGAGGGAACTGAGAATCTAGAGAGAGAAAGGAGAGAAAAAGACAGAGAGAGGTTTAAAGAGGGGAAATCACGTGGAGGCAAAAGGGAGAGAGAATACAAAGTTGGGTTCTAATTAACCCGTGCAGCCCTCTCTCTTAGTATATATTATATTAATCTTAACTTTCATATAATAATATTCTTTTTTTGAGGGAAAAGACACATAAGGGGCTTAAATACAAATATACAATAGAAAACAGTTATTAACGTTCACAACACTCCCCCTCAAGCTGGAGCATAAATATCCCTTGTGCCAGATTGCTCAGGATCATTTGTATTCGAGCTTTCCCAACGGCCTTGGTAAGAATGTATGCTAGCTTATCTTCAGTTTTACATATGAAAGCCAAATTTCCCTAGTAGTAACTCTTTCTCAAGTGAAATATCGGTTTACCTATATATGCTTGGTTCTATCATGCTAGACCAGATTGCAAGTTATACCAATGGCTGCCTTGTTACAATACAAGGACATTGACCCCTCACAGGAAAACCAAGCTCCCACCATGAGTCATGGATCGATACTCTGCTTCTACACTTGAACGGGCTACTACTAATTGTTTTTCACTCCTCCACGCTAAAAGGTTGCCCCCAATATGTGTTTATGTCAGCCTCAAGTCGTCAATGGCCATAATTAGTAAATAGTAGTCCTCTACCAGATGATGATTTTAAATATCTAAGAACTCTATAAGCAACTCCAAGACGAGTACTTCATGGAGCATGTATGAACTGACTAATCACACTCATGGCATATGATGATTTTAGATATCTAAGAACTCTATAAGCAACTCCAAGATGAGTACTTCGTGGAGCATGCATGAACTGAGTAATCACACTCATGGCATATGTAATGTCAGGATGTATAAGTCAAATATATATCAACATGCCCACTAACATTTGAAACATACCCATATCTTTGAAAGATTTGTCACTTTAGTCATCTAGTTTGTGATTTTGTTCCATAGGAGTATCTAGTTTGTGAATTTCCTTAGAACAATTACCTTTTACAACAATATCATCCACATATACAATCACGACAATGGCACTTACTTCTGTTATGTTTTACAAATAAGGTACAGTCTGCATGACTCCGTGTATACGCAGTTCTTTGAACAACACCACTGATCCTCTCAAACCAATCTCAGGGAGACTGCTTTAGTCCACAAATGACCTTTCTCAATCTACAAACTTCTCCCTCATATCCAAGAGCCCTAAACAAACGTGGAGATACCATGAACACTTCTTCATGCAGCTCCTCATGACGGAATGCATTCTTGACATCCAGTTGGTGCAACGACCGATCCAAGCTAGCTGCTAGGGACAAGAGACACAAATCACATTCATCTTAGCCACAGTAACAAATTTCTCCTAATTGTCTATTCCACTAGTCTAGGTGAACCCCTTGGCAACTGATTGTATTTGTCAACTGTACCATTGGCCTTGTTCTTTACAGTATAAACCCATTTGCAACCAACCAATTTCTTCTCTTCAGGAGAGTCTATCAGTTCCCAAGTACCATGCTTGATTAATGCCCTCATCACCTAGCAAGTAGCTTCTTTCCACTTGGTATGAGCTAAAGCTTCAAATATGAATAGAAACAGAAGACAAAGAAAACATAAAAACAATAGGAAGTAGACAAGGACTCATAAGAAACAAAGTTGCTAATTGAGTGGTACAGTACAACTTCGTTTACCTTTTCGTACAGAAACGGGCAGATCATAATCATCATGCTAAGATCTATAGGAATTGCCAGGATCAGAGGTATGCAACTGGCTCGAAGGTCTATGCCCATGGTCGTCTCCACTTCCTTTTGTTTCTGCCGAACATAGATTTCTAATTCTCTCTTTAACACCATGATGTTGCTCCCCACTCTCCTCCTGAACTCAGGAGAACACTCCATGCACTGGGGAATGCCTGATGGAGTGCGCTGGGGAATGCCTGATTAGTACTAACAGCAGCGTTGCCAGTCGATGAAGCATTATGAGCATTGAACTGACCTAGACAGTTGAATTTACTTGGCCAGCCAACTAGATCCCAACAAGTTTCGATATTATCTCCCACAATAATCAAATTTCACCTAACTTCTATCTCCTTGATTTGGCACCTCTTCTCCAAATTTCCAAGGTCCTCCCTTCTGTTGACTTTAAGAGGTAATGAGCAAACTTAAAACAGGAATACACCTGGTTGAGCGAAGGAAGGGCGTCCCTACTGGGTATTTGAACCTTGGCTAATTCAAACTCAGGGTTCAATTCCCCAGGAACTTAAAAATATTGTTTTACTCTACATATTGCTTGTATTTTTCCTCATCTTCCTTTTAGGCTGGCCAAAACAACCGGTAATGGTCCAACTCCTACATGCTACGAAGTAACGAGAAATATGCAGCAAGAAACCTTCCCTCCCATCAAAGATGGGAAATTTCCTCTCTTGGTCCACGCGAGCCACATTTTTGCTTTAGGAATAGGTTAGAAATACCAAGTCCCAGATCTCTGTCACAATTCAAAGGAACCAGAAGCTCATATCAGTCGTTGTTTACATAGAATGTAATAACCAAGACATTACGGTCAGATTTCGGTTTCCGACTTCTCAAGTGAGGAATCTGCTTCTTCGGGTTCAATAATCTTGTCCTTGAGGTACCTCCATTTTCCCCTTCAACTAATGAAAAATGTTGCAGATTGTGATCACTCTAAATAATTTGTTCCATCAAGTTTGACAGTCGTAATTTGTAGTCCTGGGTTATGTCCATAGATACTCGTATGGGAGGTCACACCCGGACTACAAGAAATGGTGAAGGAGTCATTAACACTAGACATGCTAACCATAACACAGGCTGTACAAACCAAGAAAACTCTATGATTAACATAATCAGCAACTCAAGTTCAATGCCCACAGGGATCTGAGACCATTATTACAAGAGATCTCGATAATTACTGAGTCTCACAACTCAAAAACAAGGCTGCAACATATTTAGTGTTCAAACAACACCATCAAATCATCACACAGCCAGATCTAGGATTTTTTAACATCATCCCAGCCAGATCTACGGTTTTTAACACAATCGAGTCATCCCAACCAGATATAGGGTTTTTTAATCCATCATCAAGAACTTGAAATCAGAATTTTACATCCCAAACTCGTGTTTTCAGATTTACGGTTTCTGCCGTACAGCTGATGGACATCCTCGCACAATCAGTTTACACCATTAGGGTTGCAAGAACCATCACCGAAGTTTCTGCTCTGATACCACGTTCAAATATACATCAGAAAAGAAGAGGAAGAATGAGAGAGCTGAAGATCCAGAGAGAGAAAGAGAGGAGAGAGAGAGGGGTTTAGAAAGGGGAAATCAAATGGAGGCAAAAGGAAGAAAGGATAATGAGTCAGTGCCACATTGGGTTCTAATTGACCCACACGGCCCTCTCTCATAGCATATATATTATTAATCTTAATTTATATACAATGACATCGTTTTCTTGAGGAAAAAGGCACATCAGATTTAAGGGGATTAAATACAGTAAATAATTTTCACAATTTAAGAGCTCTCCTAGATGAACACCTCAACAACTACCATGAAAAACAACAAACATATCTGCCTGCACCATCCATTAGAAATTAAAGCTAATGGGAAAACATCCAGTTCACTCCTCCAGCAACTGGCTACCCTATATGCACACGAACTTCCAAACATGATTCACTTGTAGAGCGCAATTTAGAATTATCAAACTAATTCAATGTGCCCCTCTAATGAGCCTACAGAAAACGAACTTAAATCAGACCAAAATACTCACTTGGCATTCCAACCAGTTACATTTCCATGCCCACTTCACTATATATTTCCCGTAGGGCTAATTTACTGCTTCGGCACCATGTAAATTAATCAAGTGCCAAAAACAAGTTTTCCAAGTACCTAGTTTCATACAATCATACAGCATTAAAGAAGATAGCTTTTCTAATCTTCTATATCAGAGGCATGGTAGACTTCCATCTTTCAAACTAGAAGGATACATAAAATCCATTTTGCAGGCAAAATGATACATTAACACTAATTAGTTCCTAACAATTTAAATGGCAAATCAATGAAATTTTATGATATATGCTGGTAAAGTAGCACCAGCCAACAACAGCATAAAAATTGCTCTCACCTCAACATCACATTTCATTTCCTTTGGGCAAGGCTTCACCATGTAAAACCTCTGCAAAAAAGATAAACTTTAGAATATTCTTTTGGTAAATTTTATTTGGGAATATTGCACAGTATCATCAATAAAGGAACTAGTAACAAATCTTCAATCTAAATGCAGCAATACTGAGCATTAATCTGTAATATGTGTGAAAAGAGGGTATCAGAAATGGTTGCCACTAGCCAAGAAAGGAAGTAAAACAAGTATTACATCCCATAGTTGACATCTCTCCTTTTAAAAACGCCCGCAATATCAAATCTAATAGACAACTTGGATTTTATATGCATGTGAATTACAGTGATAAAACTACCATTGAAGAGAAATTGAAGCCTTCTTCACCTAGTCAATCAAGTTACCATCAAGCAAATCAAATCACTGAAGGCATCCAAGCAAGTAGCATGTGGTCATAGATAAGCTGAAAAGGCTAACATCAAACTCATCTCTTTTCGAGTCAAAATTTCACCCTCTCAGTTCAAATTCAACATACTATTGACAGCCACAGAGGAGATGACTCATGCTGTATGGCCACACCATCTCCAAGAAGGTAATGATTCAAAATCTTATGAACAGCCTCCAACATGAGGGAAACACTGATGACTGATCATTCATAAAATCTTCAACTGGGAAATTTGAACAATTTTTAAACTTTTGGCGCCCGATGATTCTATGAAGAGGCAGTGTTTTAAAATGTGGATGCAGCCAAAAGCGTTGGGAAGGCCAATGCGGCTCGATACGATCCGAATGCGGGTGCATCGCGACGATGCGGTCAATAAATATAGAAAAATTTTAAAAAATTGAAAAAAATCGGTTAATTCGTAGAAAAAAATATGGAGGTGATATATGTGATAATAGGTATTTAGATTATTCATTGACTCCAAAAGTATTAGCTGTCAGAGACTCTGTATCCACTATCCCCTGATAGAAACTAGAAACTTGAAACTAGCTTCATAAAACATTCAACAATCAGCAACCATAAGCACAAATCTGCAACCAAAAACTTTAACGTTACAAATTTTATAAACTCTTTAATCTTGAAAAGATTCCATGAAGTTCTTCGACTTGATTTGTACACTTTTTATAAACTTTATAAATTTATTAAAATGTTGTAACTTTACGATATCAAAGCATTTATAGAGATCAATCAATTTTATAAACTCATTAATTTGTATCTTTATTGTATTAGTCCATGAAACTCTTTAAAGTTACAAATTTTATTTGAAAAGTACTGGGAAAAGTTCTTCGATTTGTAATTTTTAATCTTCATGGACTTTTAGTTTATAGTGTCTTGTATTACAAATCGAAGAACTTCAACAAATAAAATTTCTGCCCAAATTTTTTTTTTTATTCAATCGATCCAATAAAAGCCACGAATGTGGCTGAAAAATGTTGTTTGGGTGGTTTAATAACCCCCCAAACCCTTTCCCCCTATTTTCAAAGATCAAAATGACCTTATTGCCCCTGCTCGAGACGTACAGTTTTGAAAAAAGTGGTGGACAAATTATGCGGCCTGATGCGATCGATGCGGGATGCGGCTCTGATGCAGAGAGATGTGGCTCTAATGTGGCTCTGATGCGGAAAAGTGGGATGTGCTAGGTGGCACATAGCGCCTGATGAGGACGCATATGCGTCGATGCGGCCACATTTTAAAACACTATGAAGAGGAATACAATACAACGTAATGATTTACTCCAATCATCAAGGGACTAGAAACCTGAATTAGAAGGAGAGTATTTGGCAATTTACTAGAATAGGGAGAGTAGCATATGGTGAGAAAGCCCCAAAATAAATTGATACAAAATCCAAGATAGAGAACAAAAGAATAGCAAAGCAAACATAGGTAGAAGAGATTCTAAAAGGCAAAGTTTCAAGGCGAAGTTTCTGATACTCTAAATGTGTTAAAAAAGAAGAGCACATATACTATGCTCCCTCGGGAGCATAGTTTACTTCTACTCCCTCAGTTAGAAGGCCTACTTGGGAGAATTATTTCGATATGAAATTTTGGGAACCACTTAAGAACTACTAGATGATTATTCTCAATAAAAGCAAATTGAGATTTGAGTTTTCTAACACTTAGATCTCACCATCTAAAAATTGGATGGTCTCTATTCAATTTTGAGACACTATTTTTTTCAAGTGCATAGAGGGTACAATTAGAAATTCTTTCATTGAGGTTAATCTATGGGTTGAAGATGTTACATCCTCAAAATTTGGGGTCTTAAAATTAATTCAAGGTAGGGTTTTACCATGGGGAGTAAATGGAAAATATACTCCTGCAGAAGTATATTATCTTTTGGCAAAAAAAGAAATGCGCTCTATACAGCATGGGGATGGGGTAAACCCCGAAACGATGTAGCTGATAAGGAATGTCGACTTCTGGTGAATTTAATAGCAGCTTAGACGTGGAAGACCTCCAAGGACATGCAAACATGTATGCGATCAATAGAAAAGTAAAAACTAACAAGTAGATGGTATTTCTTCACTCAAAAACACTTTAATGATTGGCTCAGCAACTTTTGACAGATGATATAAAAAAGAAGCATGCCCTTTGCCCAAAGAAATCTAACTTAACAGCTGAAATTTTCTCAAAATGGTACAGGTTTCAAGCATAAGCATGTAAACCTAAGAAGTCATCATACCTGTCGAAAGGGCTTCTCGGGAGTTCTCCAGAATGCCTGCCACATCAATAAATAAATAAACAGACCACAACATATAAATTTTCATGACAAAGATGTGCCAAAATAGCTTTGGCATATAAATAAAAGCTGCATGTTGGCTCTAATTCAAATTGTTAACATGGCACTGAAAACAACAACAATACATGCTGAGATAGGCAAACTAACTTGTTCGAAATAAAGGACTTTGGAACCATCAACCATCACTGTTGCTGGGCAGGTAAGCGTTCTGCCAACGGAAGAAACAGAAGAAGCCAGTTAGGGAACATGACAGAAAAGATAAATCAACTTCCTTTTCCGGAATTCAAAATAAACTAAATGAAAATATGAACCATGAATATTAGAACCTAATCAAGAGCAATCACAAAAGAGAAGAGAAGAAAATTATACTATTGTTATGAACCGAAAAATATGGGCGAGTAATAGAAAAAAATAGACGAGAGATGGAAGAAAAATAGATAAAGCAATGGCCACTTCGAGGGGCCAACCTCCTTACAATGAAAATAAAGAAAGACATGAGACAGAATACATAAGCAATCGCCAGTTCAAGGAGCCAACCAAGCCAGAAAAGTAATTCTCAAAATGACTACCCCTACCTCTACCACCTCATTTAAAATCTTTAGACTCTCCCCTAAAACAAAACTCCTGCGTACAATCAACGGTTACAATCAATTGCCATCAATCCTTATCCAATCCTGATATCAAATGCATACTTAACACATTAGCATCATGGAAAGAACAAAATGGTACTCATTAGTCAATAGGTTGAAAATTTAACAAACAGAAACCTACAACCTACTCAAAATGACTCAAAATCCAGAACAGAACAAGCTAACCCCTCAAGGTTGATAGTGGAAACCTTTCTTTAAACTACAGAATTGGCTCCCAAGTCGAATCTTCAGTCCATGTTGCTCAATTGCACTAAAAGCTCTTGTAAATACACAGTTCTCATGTTTTTACATCCACCAACCCAAAATGGGTTTTGGTTCAACTACCGTATACCCTTCTTGGGTGAATTGCGGAAGAGTTTGTGGTACTTCCAACCCCACCCTTTTTATTGAGAAATGAGATATGAGACACAGGATGTATATTAGATTATGCAGGTAGCACCAATTTTTACAGGCTACTCGGCCAATTTTGTGGATGATCTTGAAGTGTCCACAGAATTTAGGAGCTAGTTTTTATGCCCTTATATGGTACTTTAAGTTTGGGAACATGGTTGGAGGTGTAAGAACATATCCCCAAATTTGAATTCCTGCTCCATTCAATGCGTATCTGCTTGTTGCTTCATTTGATACTGAGCCATGTGCAAATTTTCAGGATCTGAATGTTGTGATCATGGCTTCATAACTCCTACGCTACTATTTGGGCAATTGCAGAGCCTGGAATGATTGATGTCATAGACAGGGGAGGTGGCCATACACAGCTTCAAATGGTATTGTTTTTGTAAAGGAAAGATGGGTGGTGTTATACCAGAAGCCCACTAATGGAATCCACCAGACCCCATTGTTTTGGAAGGCTCGCATGGAAACAGCTCAAATATGTTTCAATGAATTTATTGAACGCTTCACATTGCCAATTCATCTAGGGATGATATATCTTGCTCAACTTTATTTGCGTCCCCTATATCTTAAAAAATTAGGAAAATGACCAAGGCCTCCCCCCTCCATACTTAACAGGCCAAATAGCCCCCTTCACACCACAGATCCTTGTGTTCTACTATAAGCTCATCTCAGCAGCTCCAAGGTCTCTTAGGTTCGAGCTCATAGAGGAGAGAGACAGCTAGACACACCTGATCCACTGGGCGCCAGGAACAACCCCCACCCCCCCCGCCACGAAAAAAACAACACTTAAAAAAACCAAAAACACCCAAAGCAAAAACTGTCATCTCATGAACACCCTATCATACCAATAAAGAGAAAAACCATTTAAAAAGGACGAACTAACCCCCTGGTAATGAGAAAGAAAATAAAAAGTTGCTCAACCTCTCCCAAATGATCTCTCTCTCTCTCTCTCTCTCTCTCTCATCACAAATCATAACAAAAGAGAGGTAGATTTCTGACACCCCCCCTCCTGTTTTTGACTTAGTAACACTACTTGGGCGAGTATTATATATAGTGACCTGCCAGAGTACTGTAGAACTTGGGAGTCCACCCAAATTCTACAATACTCAGTGGCATTCAGGGACTTGGCTGAGTCGACTTGGACTCGGCCGCATGCCTAGCCAACTACTTGGGTAAAACTCAGGTCACTAAAAAATATACAAAAATTTTGTTTATGTTGTGAAATCAATTTATAAATGTTTTATACACAATTTGGATATACTTTCTTATGATTTTAAGTTTCCATAGTCATATGCCTCATTTTTATATTTTCCTTTTCTTTTTTTCGATTTTTCTGAAATGTCTCCAACTATAAATCAATTTTTCATAAACCCATGTTTTATTCCAACTTATTTCAAATTTTTATGTTGTTTTTTGTTAGTTTATTTTTATTATATTTTCAATCATTTTTTATTTTATTTTTTTGGGGCTCTTTTGGCACTGTACACTAGTCAGGCGAGTACGAGTCAACTTAACTGAGTTACACGGTGCAAGCAGGACCTGAGCCCCAAGCCCAAGTTGAGTATCTAAACATCAGTGCTCAAGAAAGTCTGTACAGTATTAGCCCAAGTACCGTATAGGTACCCTAGCCCCTGAGCATGGGCATGGTTACTCACCTCAGCAGAATCCAAGTAACTCAGCCGAGTCCGAGTCAACACAGCCTAGATACAAAACATTGGTTTCTAAATGCCGAACAATAAAGGTTTTTTATATTTTGTTCCTTTTTTTGGTGTTTTTATTGACACTTGGTTCCATTCAAATGCCTTGCATGGGGTAAGGGTTCAGCTAAGAACTGGTGGCCAGTTTTCTGCCATTTTTTGTCCACAAGATCAGAGAGAGTACCCAGACACAGATAACTTATCTATATATGTTGACATATAGAAAGTTGCCCAGTAAAGAAAGGCAAGAAAGAACTCTCAAACAATAGCCAATTCTAGTGGAGCGACCTACTTAGAAAAGAACAATGGCATAACACTCTACATGAGAGAACCTATCTCTAACCCCTTAATTATAATCTTTAGAACCTCCCTGAAAAGAAAAAAAAAAATAGAATCAATTATTATCAATTATCAATTCTTATTCAACTCTGGTCTTAATTACCTACTTAACAAATTACGGTGAGGAAAGAATAAAAACCAAAGGTTCAATAGAGGTAACCAGCAACCTACTAAAAATGACTCAAAATACGAAAGGAGATTTGCAATTTGCCAAATCCGGAACATAACATACTGAAGCATTTCATCAAACAATAAGAGACAAGAATACATGCATGCATACCTCAAGTTGAAGTAGTTCATAGGGTCTCTCGAAGCCTGCTCACTGGAAAACTAATGGAAAAAGTCGAAAATTGCTAAAAGTTAGTTACAACTACAAAATGAATCCAATTGAGAATATGAACTAAACAAATCAATCAACAATCCTCAAAGAAAATTTCAAACCCCAAAAAGTTCATAGAAATGCCCACGCACAAAGCCATTAACTAATTAAGCTCGTTAACCATTAGCAGAGAAAGCGGCAAAGAGAACTCATAAAATCCCAACTGAGAAAGGGAAAAAGTTTTCGAAAACTAAAAAAGTCCATTAAAAAATGGAAGCAAAAAATACACAGGAAAACCGAACTCAGAAAGAACCAAACAAAATATTCTCAGAGAGAGCTACAATTTCATTAAAGAAAAAAAAAAAAATACCATGAAACCCAACTGAGAAACAACTCAACAAAACGAACCCAACTCGAATATATATATATAGAGAGAGAATTAAGAAACCCATAAACCACACTCACATAAACTTCCACCCTAAAATAGAAATTTACAACAAAAAAAGAAGAAGAACAAATAAACAGCTTGTGACTTAGGTACCTTCTCACCACTAAGCGCATCAGCAATAATTCTAGCATGATCCCAGCTGGTTCTTGACTTAGTAAATCTCTTGAGAATCAGAGCACCACCAAGAAGAAAGATAGCCTTAAGAACGAGGCCACGAGCCCTGGCTCGACCATTAGAGCCATCAGAGCCCGTCATTTGAGGTGAGAAAGTCTAGAGCACAGCAGCCGTAGGTTCACACCACTCTTTGCTGTGAAACTCTCGGGCATGAAGGGTGCAACACGCCATGGCCAAAACATGAGAGGGAGCAAGGCAAATTGTGGGCTTTTCAAATAGATTTGAGGCCATTATCGTGTGGGAGCCACTGTAGCCCCAGCAACTAGCCAGATTCTGCTGTAAATTTGATTTTATCTAGCTCCTCTCCCTGCCCTTTTTTTTTTCTTTTGCACCAGGGGTACCTTCCTAAATTCGATTCGGAATTCTCAAGTCATCAAGTCATGAGTCATGACCAAGGGTCGGGTTGAGTTTGGATCGAATCCAAATTGGATCGGACTTGACTAGTTCCAATTTAGATGGGAGGAGTCGGGCCGGCTCTATAAATTTAAAATATATAAAAAAATATTTTATATAATTTATATTATATAGTTGATATTACTTATAGAGAAAATATATCTGTACACAGTTTTTACTTTCATTTCATTCAAGATTGTTTGTAGTTTTATTTCACCCAAAGTTTCAAAACATATTGGTAAGGTTTCAAAACATATTGGTTGTTACTTTCATTTCACTAAGGATTGTTTTTGGTTTCATTTCACCCAATATTTCAAAACATATTAGATGGTATGGAGATCCATGTATTACGCCGTTTCATTTCTCGGTTTCTTCATTTCACTCAAGATTGTTTTTAGTTTTATTTCACCCTATGTTTCAAAACATATTGGGTGGCATAGATATCTTATGTATTATATGTTTAGGTTCCATTTTTCCCAAAAATATATATTCTAACCCTAAGACTAACTTATTTTGACCCCGCTTTTTAACATAAACAAATGTTAAAAGATGTCTTCTTAAATCTTTCTCTCTTCACGTGTTTTTTTTTCAAACTTTTATCTTTTTTTCTCATGATTCTGCCTCTCTATCCGTACACATGACTCCCCCAAACTTTTTTTTTTTTCTTTTTGACAAATATTAAAAACTTTATTAATAAAATTATAAGGAAATTATTACATCATCAGCTACCAAAAGTGAAGGTAAAATAACAAGGGTCTTTAACAAGTGAATCAACCACTCATTGACTGATCTCTTAGTAAGCATGGTAAAAAGGAGATCCTCAAGGATTCTATCGTTCCCTCTCTCTCTTTCTCTTTCTCTATCTCTCCCAAACCTCTCTGTCGGCATTTCACCACCCCCTATTATTCTCTCTGTCTGTGTTTCCCTGCCTCTCTCTCACACCCCCAAACCAGAGTCTCTATGGGAAACTGCCAGATCTGACAAACTACCCTACAATGCCAGATCTTACAAACTACTCTACAATTCGAGACACATATGCCGTTTCTGCACCAGCGCGGCACATCATACGAGTCCCACGGTGAATTGGAAATAAAAAGGGCATGGTGAATTGGAAATAAAAGCCTCCAACATACCCATGGTGAACTGTAAATAAAAAGGCCAAACGGACCCATGGTGAATGGAAATAAAAGCCTGCTATGAATCTATAAGATTGAGAGGGAGAGAGAGAGATTTGATGGGGACTCGAAATTAAAACTTCCCATGAATATTTGAGTGAGAGAGAGCTTTGGAAGGCTTCATCAAAAGCCATGTGATTTCAAACGTTTTGAAACCATAAGGATGTTTCCACTCAACGAGTGCAGCAAGTCATCCTTGAGGATGATCATTTTCTTGGGAAAGGTCTTGATAAAATAGAAATTTCAGTCATAAAAAAAAAACACCAGAAAAACAGAGCTGGCTAAAATTGATTTACTGCTTTTCATCCATAATTTTTTTTTTCCCCTTAAAACTAGGGACAAACTAAAACAAAAAGGAAAGTATAGAATGAGACCATATCTTTGGTAGAAAGCGGTCACATGGTCACATTAATCTTGACTATTGGATGTGAAATTGAGTGGATGAAATTATTTTATTGATCAAGCTCAAACTTCAAAAGAAATTTTTTTGAACGTTGTGACATCTAAGCTATCAAATTTCACATCCAATGGTTTTAAGTAATTGTGACCACCTTGTATTTTCATTGTATAAAACCCCAAAATAAAATGGGAAAAATATATCTTTTCGCCTTTCAAAACATATCTAGACACATAGATCTCATGTATTGTATCTTCTAATTTTCTAGAACAATGTTTCCCATTTTGACTCATCTTTTTAACTCAAACAAATATTAAAAAGATATTGGCCATATTGATATGTACGTTACTGGGACATATCAATATAGATTGATCGCGATCCTAATCCGACCCAACCTGATAGGATCCAAAATAGACCTGGACTTAGATCCCACCTAGATCGAGTCAAGGTCAAGTGGACACGGACACGATTAGGTTGACCAATCGGATCCACAGGTCGACCCGACCCGTTTTCCATCCATACCTCAAATCTTGTGAACCTCTTCATCTAACATCTTTTTTTCTTTTTTACCTCAATGTTTTCTAACTCACATTATTATGGGTGGATTATTTTTTTATTCCTTTATGTAGTTTTATACAATTGAGAAATAAATGCCAACATTTTAAATGGCCGAGTATGTCCTCCAATTTCTAACATGGTTTCACATGATAAAGTGATGCTAATTACGCATGACAAAGTAGTGTTTGTAATGCATAATGATTCATACCATTCTTAAATTTCTCAAAGTAGGCAGGAGGGACCACTTGGCGCATTTCATTATACACGATGGAATCGTTAACTCATAAAATGAACGGCTAAACTGGTTTGACAACAAAGACTGATTTAAGTTCACCAAAGATTAGAAGCTCCATTAACACTTGGTAGGCAAGTTTTCACCTTCAATGCCATTATAAAACGGTTACAACTTTACATACAACGGGGACCGAAGAGTTACACTAGTCAATGGAGGTTAATCAGGTTACAAAAAGTGCACCATTAAGTCCAAAATCACAAACTATCCATTTTAGTGAACCATTTCTGTGTTTTTCACTCTTAGCCATGCATAGCACACCGGTGGAAGCTCCACCGCAGTAAATCTCTATAAAAGGCCCTTTTCAGGGCCTCTGCAAGAAAATTGCCAAAATGCCCTTATTGGACCTATCGCGACAAAATACCTGCCACCAAACATTCTGCCCATGATTGGACGGTGTAGATGGTTCTAGCTTACCTGCTATCAGACAACTGCTTAAACTAGAAAGCATTAAATGAAGCTCAAAACTCAACCACTACGGTTTATTAACGAAGCATGTTGATGGTATAATGAGCAGGCAGATTTCCGCCCTCAAAACTGTAGTGCTAATCCAGCAAGATGCAGTTAGGTCATAAAGAACAAGGAGCTTGGACCTATCCTCTACCTGTTGCTCCCACAAAATTACAGGAGGCCTTGTACGTCACTTCAACCTTGTATAAGGAGGAAATTCTCTAGCCAAAAATCAATGAGAATGGAAGAAAATTGTTACTGCAAACACAATCCCTCCTACACTCTGTCCAACTCCTTGAAGTGTCGTTCTTGTTGCTTATTCAACTGGTCCCTCCATAATTGAATTAATTTTTCCTGCTTTTGAATCTTCTCAGATTTGGTTTTCAACTCCTCTTCCATAATTGCTATCTTCTGCAAAGTACCAGTCCAGAGGAAGGATAATCATCATAAGCTCTTCTTTGAGGCTCAACGAACGAGCTCTTAAAACAGCATCAATCAAAGAACTTCAAACTGCGCGACAAATGAAGAGAAGGTATGCCACAACCCAATGGAGTAATACAAGAACAATAGTCCAATGGGATCATCAGAGGCCCATAAAATGGATGATGAAGGGGGACAGAGAGACCCACAAGAACAGGGAATGACCCACCATGTTGTCCCTCTCTCGCTCCATCACCATCCATCATTTCATTGGACGTTGACAATTTGATTACGTGGACTATCCATTGGATTATAGCATATATTCCCCCCGAGCATGAAGGATGATCTACAGATTACTCATCATCCATATGCAGGGCCTTATTCCAGAGGACCATTCATCAGGTGTGACCACCAACCCTACTGCAATGGATAGAAATACCCACCCTTCTCAAAGTCTCCTCCTCAGTGGGTCGTGCTTCATATTGAAGATTGATGAAATACAATTGAAGCTTTTTTGACGCTTCCATGAAATCCCTAGCATGCCTTTCCACGTCAACTGTATGCAAGCAAAAGTGCAAAACCCATCCTTAGGAATGTTGATATGCATAGAAATGACCACAATTATCCAACTATTTACCAAGCAGATGTTATTTTATCAGGAGTTCATAAGCTAGAAAGTCACAACAATAGCTCATAGATTAAGTATGTAGTGCCCCGGAGAGAGAGCCAAAAGAATCGTGACCACCCCGATGCCTTTTGGACACTCTATAAACTAGTTAAAGAACAAAAAGGGATTGAATCGATCGCACCATTGGAAAAGGCCAAGGGACCTATGATTATACTTATACAAGCCAATAAACTTACATATGCATAAAATGGATAAGAAACAATCAAGCATTGTGGAACTCGATCAAAACTACAATTATTAGACGAACCTTAATATGGGTGTACCTAGACCTGATACTTAATAGCATCTAAATGGTGATTCTATACTCACAACTATGAGCTCCAATTTCTTTTAAGAGAATTCTAATCGATGATATATAATCATCATTTTCATCATCATCGTCCAAGCCTTATCCCAATGATTTGACGTCGGATATATGAACGAGAGCCATACCCTCAGTAAGACCAAAGTCACCATATTTTTTCTCGCTACTTCTATCAATATCCTTTTGGGCCTTCCCTTTACCCTTTTAGAGCCTTCCACTTGAACCAAATCATACCTCCTAACCTGTGTTGTATTAAGTCTATACTGCACATGGCCAGCCCATGTAAGTCTCCTTTCCCTCATGTTATTGCGTATTGAAGCCACACCTAAGTTTCCTCATATATATTCATTCTGAATTCTGTCTTTTCTTGTCCTGCCACTTATCCATCTCAACATCCTCGTCTCAACAACGCTCATCCTACGGGTATGTTGTTTCTTGATCGCCCCATTCTGTCCCATAAAGTATAACTGGTCTTACAGTTGTTTTATAGAGCTTCCCCGTCAGTCTCAATGGCATGCGACAATCAAATAAAACTATGAAAGCACATCTCCACTTCGCCCATCCAACTCCAATTCTATGTGCGAAATCTTCCTCAATTACTCCAAGCTCCTGGATTATCGACCCTAGATATTGGAAACAATCTCTTTTAGGAATTTCTTGACCATTAATCTTAATTGTTTACTCGTTTCTACTCCTATTATTACTAAACTTGCATTCCATATTTTCTGTCTTAGTCCAGGTAATTTTAAAACCTTTAGATTCTAGAGCATCCTTCCAACGTTCAAACTTTGCATTGACACCGCCTCTAGTCACATTAACCAAAACTATGTCATCCACAAACAACATACATCACGGTACTTCATCTTGTAGATACTTGGTTAACTCGTCCATAACCAAAATAAAGAGATATGGGTTCCATGCTGACCCTTGATATAGGCCCATTTTCTATTACTATAAAATAACACATATAAAATGTAAATGAATTCAACCATAAACATGGAAATTGACCTTTACAGGAGAGAGAGAGAGAGAGAGAGAGCGAGAGAGAGAGAGAGAGAGAGAGAGAAG